GCCAAAATTGTCATGACCTAGACAGATGACTAATGGCTAAATTCTGTGAAATAGAACTAACCTCCAGGCACTAAGCTAGAGCTTCTTTCTAAGTTATGTGAAATATTCTGAAATTTTATGAGCATATATACTTTATAAATATCACTGACCCATGGCCAGAGAGATAACTCAGTAGAATAAGCACTTGCCTGGCAAACGCAGGGTCCTGAGTTCAATCCCCGATATTGCAAAAATATATATATATATATATCACTGACCAATCTTCACACATCAGCAGTCATTATAACTGATTTGAGTACTTCATCTATTTGAATTGTAAGAGTTTACCTTTCAACTTGGATAATTTTCGGGCTCGTGTCTCCCCAATAGAATTATTTTCATTAAATTGCTGGTATTGTCTTGAATATTGAAAACTTCTGAACTTCTCAGCTTTAGTATAAATGACAAGATCAGATAAAGCCAGAGCTATTTTTAGCTTCCTGGTCTAAAAACAAAATGCAGTAAATTTCACCTTTTTACACTATTTGAAAAATGCTATTTCTAACAAAGAAAATAATCTCTAGAAATGTTACTTTTTTCATAAGTGTATCTCCTCCAAATCTACTTGGATAAGTCAGTATAATTATTTTACGACTATAATATTTAATGATAACGTAAGGAGACTTAAGTTCAAAATCTCAATTAATATAGTAAGTGGTAAGGATAACAATTATTACTATGTTCTTTTCCCCAAAGATCTTGGCTTATTTTCATGAATTTTTCAAATTTAGAAATTACAGTCCTGAGCAAATATATTCCCAGTTTGAGCCAACATTTTGATATATGTACTCCCAAAGCAATCACCTGAAATAGTTTCTATCATCGTAAACATATTTGCTCTTTTTTTAATTTAAAGAATAAAATTAAGAAAAAACATTGCCAAAAGTAAGAAAAAACATGATACAGAATTTCAAGACAAGATAACAGGAAATCAGCAGTGGTTCTTACATTGTATATTGTTCTGTTCAAAGTAGGTATTTAGATTACCAACTATAAGTATGCAAAATGGGTCCAAAACATTAAGCATTAACTATTTCTTATGATAAACCAATAGAAATTAGTAATAGAATTATCTATTGTGTGAGTGTATATGTGTGTGTGTGTGCGCGCATGTGTGTGTGTGTGTGTGTGTGTGTGTGTTTGTATAATTTCCCTCTAATTATAAGACACTTGTTAGATTTTGCTCTGGGGACACACCCCTTGTTTGTGTTAGATCCATACATTTACATAATGATCCTATAGACTAGGACTCACAAATCAGAACTGTTCATTCCCCATTACCAATGATTGGTTCAAAGCTACATAAATAAACATCAGAGTAGGTGTACAAAATTATTTCCTGCCTGTAATCCCAGCCCTCAGGAAGCTGAGGCAGGAGAATTGTTGTGAGTTCGAGACCAGCCTGGGCTACAAAGAGAGCAAAGACCAGCCTGAACTGTGTAACGAAAGCTTATCTCAAAAAGACAAAAAAGAAATCATTTTCTACTCTGAGAGATAGGCACTCTACTTCGTTTGAACTTGAAAGAATATAAAGCAGAATTTTTATGATAGACTTGGGCCAATACAGAGAAAATGGGACCAAAACTAGAGACAACCTGAAGCTCTGTTGACCTTGCTCAAGATACTATACTAAATCACATTGCAAATTAAATTCCTTTCCCTAAATTTTTTTCACCTGGATAGACAAATTAATAATCCTCATTTTACTTTAACCATGCAAGCTAATGACCTTCTTAGGGCATAGTAATATACACACTTATAATGCTATATATTCTAAACATTAATCTTCATCTGTCTCCATTTGAGAACAGAGAAATTATGTTCTTTCTGCAGCACACTTAGTGCATAAGGCATCATAATAATTGACAACTATTGCTGAAAACATTGAGTAACAGGTGGCACAGGGAAAGAGGTAACTTTTACATTTTGTTTGTCACTCAATTTTTTTCCAAGTAAAGTTTAAATGATAGACTTCAGTTTTTAGGAGGAAGAGTCTTTCCTTCAGATTATTCTCAACACAGCACCAAAAAGAGAAAGAGCAAATTTTCAATCACTTGTAAGATATTCACAAAGCTTCCTCTCACCTTCTTTTTCTTGGAAAAAAGTGCTACTCCAAGTGCCTTCCTTGATTCCGTTTCCTTTCCTTGGCTGTCCCTGGGAAAAGTGCTGGAATCTTCTTCTGTGGTCTTCAGTTCCTCCTCTTCCTCCTCGGCTTCTAGTTCTTCTTCTTCCCACACCTCGACCTTACCGTGCTTATCAGAGCCTATCCTCTCGTGGGTCTCCTTTAAGGATCCTATTTTTTTATTTTTAACTAAGATTTTGAATTTCAGAGCCTGTAGAAAAAATTGGAAAGGGAGCTACAGTTACTCATTTATAGGTAGTTTGCATTTGGACCACTCGTTATGAAACACTTCCCTGGGTTTTCCATCAGCCTGCAGTAGCAAGACACATAAGGCTTTCCTTTTGCTACACTGCTTTTGATGCAGTGACATCACAGCATTGACTAGAATTCACACTCAAAAATAATCTGTTTATAATTGGGACTTACTATATGCCATCTCTTATAGTTCAAACATTTCTTCTATTGAAATGTTTGAAATTTGTGAAAAATGTAGGTGATGGTTAAGCTTAGTTATGCCCATTTAATTGGCCCAGAAGCTTCCTAGAAGAGAGTAAAGCACACTTTTTGGGTGGGTCTGAGTGGGTCATACAGGGGTGACCTTGGGTAGCATATCTGGTCCTTCATTCCTTCTCTGATGCTTTCTCCTCCTCTGCTTCTCTGCCTGAGCAATTTTGCTCAGCCTCATCCTTCGTCCAAGATGTCCCTGCCTTGGAGTAGCTGGCCATGGACTGAACCTCATCAAACCAAATGAGCCAAAGTAAGCCTGTCCTTCTTTAAATTGTGTTAGGCATTTCCAAGTTAGGTCTTGGGCATTGTTTTTCTGGGTCAAGGAAGTGATGAATGCAGTACACATCAATTAAAATACTTGCCATATTATTTAAATTAGAATGTTACTACTTTTGGTAGTAAATATTTTAAGTCATTGCTCTCTTAGCCAATATTGAAATTCTTCAGTTGTATCACATATATAAAATGTCTATCAGTGTCTGGCATGAAGTATAGTATACATCAAAGATATACACATAAAAGCCTCATCAGTTTTGACTACATTGCATGCACGCATCAGCAACTTAGTAGTATTTTCTGTCCATAAATCCAGAGACATAGCAAAACTTATCACCATCAGAGTGACTAAATCTGAAACTTCTGGTTCCATTCCACTACTTAAAGTCACCTTTGTCCCTTCTGGAACTTTATTCATTTAACAAATGCATGTTTAAGTACCTGCTATATTACATGTAAGGCTGAAAGCTGCCTTCTGAAATAAAGATCTTTTCTCCAAATAGTTTCTACTCTTTCTTCCCTTTTGTCATCCTAAGGAAGTCAAGTTACGTCACTATCTTTGGACTTTTCACATTTACTATGACCCTTATCTCACTCTCTACATAGGGAGTCTATCAAAGTGCACTCACTGTACAAGCCACACATAAAAGTATATCAAGGGTAATTGTTAAGGTAACATATTTCTGAGATCTTATTCAGTGTTGGGAAGTCAGAATCCTGAGCTGCAGACTAGAATTAGGCCTCCTTATCATGTCTCCAGATTTTTTTTTTGTCATTGTTACACAAGAATGATAGAGTATAAGCAAAGAACTTTTTGTCTTATTCCTCATCTACTTCTTAGAAACCATCCTCTTACTCTAATCTGGAAGCAAAAACTTCAATTATATACTGGAATGCAAAAAAAAGCCATACATAGCAGGAATAACTTACAATTTCCAGAATTAGACCATGACTCTAAAGTTTAATCTTTGATCATAATTTCCCAGAATTTCACATATGCATTTTAAGAGTTTTCTGTCGCAGTAGAACACGTTCAGTGGATGGACTTTCTTAAGTAAGAACATTGGATTTTTTTCCATTTATTAAGTAATTTGGTTTTGTCTGTCTCAGTTCTATTATGAGCCCTATACTTCTTGTCACTAGTGTACCATTTTCGTTTTAAGATGTCCTGCTCGTTTAAATAAAATAACAAGAAATATAAAGATTAATAGTCAAATATTACAGAAACTGCTCTACCATAGCTGAAAGTAAATGAAAACTGAAATACAGGTTTTCTTTAGAGAGTACTATTGCAAAGAAAATGTTTTTGTATCACCTGGCAAAATTTGGGGTAATGAGCCAGCAAGGGAAACTAAGGACTAGGCAGAGAAGAATGAAGAAAGCCTAAAGAACTTGGTGTGATGGAAGAAAATATTCCAAGGAAAGCAAAACGGAGCACACAGGCCAGAAGTTGCCAAGTCAACAAGCCAGGGGAAACCTGAAATGTATCCACAGGAAGGCCTTCAACAGCCACAGTGAGACACTTACTGTGCAGCAGGAGCAACAGGAAGCTAGACTGGGTGGGCTGCAAGGAGACGGGAAATGGAACCTCGGATGGATACAGTAAAATACACAGCTAAAGACAGAAATGAAATCCTGATGGCAGATGTGGGTGCTGTTTTAAAATAAACACTTGAATATGCTCAAATTAAGATGGAGAGAGGTCCTAGGGACAGAGACATTAAAAAGATCATGTTGGAAAAATGTAAGCCTGTTCCCCAGATGTTGAAATATTTGCTAAAGATTGTTTATAGCCAAGACTTCCTTCCTCTTTCTTAGCCTTCTGCCTGTGAAACGTATCAATTTCTTGATGCTTCATATTAATAACCTTGAAATTTTGGACCCATGATATACAGCAACTGAAATGTGGGATTTACATATATCTCTAGACATTTCCTTTGTATAGACTCTTTATCCACTAATAAACACAGAAGAACACTTCCTAGGCAACACATGCCAAAGATTCATCTCCCTAAATAATCAAAGCTAAGTATTTTCATTGATCTTTAACCTTGTCTCATTGACCAATTTAATAGGGATATTTTATTTAGTTTTATTTATCCTTCACCCGAGCTTCTGAAGCAAACCATTACCTCTGGTGAAGGCAAGCTGTCTGGAAAATCATCAAGTATATCAGAAAGCAGGGACTCTCCAAAAGTAGTCTGCAAAATGTCAGCCATCACTTCCTGCTGGGGAGGAGAGCAGTGATTTTCTAAAGAGAGGACCACCGGGTACTCAGATGTCTGAAAAATTAACCATTGCTGTGGTTATTATCAACAGTTTTATATAACCCAATTCCATTAATATGCAGCTAATATAAATTAATTTAAATCCACTTCTAATGTTCAGCACCTTTGCAAAATTGTTATGTATTATAAAAGTACTTTTGCATTTCACAAGGGAAATTATTACTATTTGCACCCAAAATACATACACAAAAAACCCCATAGCATCTACCAGTGGGTGTTTGTTCAAATAAATATCATATTCATACAAAAAATTGTGTAGGTACATTAAACAGGTGGAACCACATAAAGTGCTATAGAAAATCACCAAAATATAGTGGTTTTTCTATTTTACGCAGGAAAACAAGGTGCCAGTTACAGTTTGGATACTGAATGTTCCCCATCACCCTTTGTGCTAAATGATTGGTTTCCACTGTGGTGATATTGACAAGTCATGAAGATATTCAGAGGTGGAATCTAGTTGAGATCTTTTCGTTACAGAGCACTTATGGAGGCTCCTGAGACCCTGCTCCTTCCTTTTTTTCTCTTCATTGTCCTAACAATGAGATCAGTGATTCTCCTCTGCCATGATGTACTCCCTTGGCATGGCTTTTGGAGCAGCTTACCATGGACTGCAGCTATCAAAATCATGAACCCAAATCTTTCTTCTTTTTTGAACTGATTATCCCAGTGTTTTGTCATAGTAACAGAACACTGTCTAACACATTGCCAGAGAAGAATATTACATATTTTAACACATATGCACATATGTGTGTACACACATATATAAGTACATATTTAAATATTTCAAAATATCAAGGAAGGCTTTAATACTGATGAGTCAAGGGAAATGCTAACTTTCTCCTTTTTCAGTTTTAGGTCCTCTAATCACAACACATTGCTTAAGAAATCAAAAAGTAAGGTAAATTAAAAACAAGCACTCAAATCAGAAAATACTTTGAAAGTAGAGCCATGACAGTTTGCTAATGTACTGATTGAAAGGTCTGAGAGAAGAGGGAACAATTAAAGTTGACAACTATGACTGTAGTTTGAACACAAGAAAGGCCATTGCCTGAGCAAAGAGAGGTCATAGGAAGAACAAGACTGACAGAAAAATTGAATATCAAAGCTCAATATCAAATGCGTGTGTTCAGTCAAATGTGCCAATTGAATAGCCAAGGAGAAATGTCACAGCAATAGCCAAGTGAAAATGTCAGCAATGTGGTTGCACAGATTGACTTTGATTCAAGGTAAAGTATAAAAGGAGAGATATAGATAGAAAAATCACCAGAGATTAAAGAAAATTGATGTCCCACAATACTGCTTCTATAGTAACATAGAAATTGCTAATTTGATATATGTACCTTGAAAATATTTATTTTATACTCTATGCTAGGATATAATGCAGTGATGGCTATAAATTTGTGGTTTTAAATTTGCATTTACAGATTATGTAACTATTAATAGAGTTAGACTTCAAGTTTGCTAGATTTGTAAGTTCATTAGGTACACATTATGTACTGAGGAAGTTTCTTTTAAAATCACTTCAATGGCAACTAAGATATTAATTTTCAAAAAGAATTTCAATACCTGAAAACATATAATTAGTCAATTTTATAAATAGGATCAAACACTGTTCAATTTTTTTTAATTGAGGCTTTGCTAATATCCATCCAGTTTACATAAGAGGATTTGCAAGATGAATTTAATTACATAAAGAACTAGATCTTTAAATCTGTATCTTTCTGTATCTGATAAGGTCATTCAAGTCCCCTCAGGATTTACCCTGAAACCCTGTACCACACTTTGTATATCCATTTTCAGTGTCAGCCATGTGGATGAGCCACGGCCATTGCTTGACCAATTTGCTCTCGGTGAAAGCCTGAGAGAATGTTTTCTCTCCATGTGACTCTCCTTAGGCACACTCTACATCATCGATCACTTTCCTCTTTGTCCCCATAATCTCCTTGAACAGAAAATTTGGGACACCACTGAGTTAGACCTTAAGGAGCCCGATTCAATCCCTGGTATCGCATGCTGTGATGACCCCAGAGTCCCAGGGGCACTTTGCTGGCCCTGAAACCAGGGTGGTAGTGCATGCTTGTAATCCCAGAACTGGGGAAGCTGAGGCAGGAGGATCACTGTGAGGACAAGCTGGGTAACAAGACCCTGTACTAAATAAATAAATAAAAGATATTTTTAAAAAGAATTAGAGTTTATAAAACAGATTCAAGGAGATATCCAGGAAATTAAGAATTCCATTGAAAGTTGGCAAAACCAGGTGAATGAGACTGAAGATACTCATTCAAACCTTGAAGACAATGGAGCAGCTAGTGAACATGAAAGGAAAAGCTCTTCTAACTAAAGCAAGAAAACAGGAAATCATTCAGCAGCTACAAGACCACACACACACATGCACACACATACACACACACACACACACACACACACACACAGAGAGAATAATATGTGTAAATGAAACAGCAGGACAACACAAATGAAATAAAAAGACTATTTGCAGAAGTACTAGCAGAAAGTTTTCCAAACATAAGAAAAGAATCTGACATGCAGTTAAGTGAGGCACATAGGATGCCAAATAGCCAAATTAAAATAAATCTACACCTGGACACATAATAATCAAGAGCTCAGAAATTCAGCAAAGAATAGAATATTAAAAACTGTTAGAAGAAACAGATCACCTACCGTGGAAAGCCCATCAGAATCACAGCATATTTCTCAACACAAACCATCAAATCAAGAAGAGCTCGGAGTGAAGTATTTCAGGTTCTGAAAGAAAATAACTTCCAAAAAAAAAATAAAAATAAAAATAAAAAAAGAAAGAAAAAGAAAATAACTTCCTACCCAGATTGCTGTATCCTGAAAAACTATCTATTAAATTCAGTGGCAAGATAAGAACCTTTCATGACAAAAAAAACAACTGAAGTAATTCATGACTACAAAAACAACCCTGTAAAGAGGACTGAAAGATATTCTAGGAAGAGGCAGAAACAACCATAGCTTCAAGAACAACCACAAAAAGGAACCACCATACAGAGCAAGTAATTTAAAAGAGAGGAAAAGTACAGAACCTATAGCAGGAAAATAACATGATGCAATAAGTTAATATGTATCAGTTACAACCATCAATTCACCAATCAAAAGAAACACAGTGGCAGAGTGGATTAAGAAACAAAATCCAACAATATGCTGCATATAAGAAACACATTTAACTGGAAAAGAAATTCACAGACTGAAAGTCAAAGGATAAAAAACAATTCTCCATGCCACGGGAAACCAGAAAAGACAGGGACAACTACTTTGTTTGCTGACAATATCTGTTTTAATATTATTTTGTGCTATCTTTTAAAAAATTAAAAAGAAGCAATATGGAACAATATGCAGCATATAAGAAACACATTTAATTCAAAATGTAATAGATTTAAAGTCAAAGCATAGAAAACAATAGTACAAGTGATTGGAATGACAAAAAGCATGTGTAGCTATTCTACCTGCAGACAAAGTGGATTTCAAGCCAAGACTGGTCAAAAGAGACAAAGAAGGTTATTACGTTCTTGTAAAGGAAACAACCCACAAGGAAGATAAAGCAATCATAAATATATATGTACCAAATACTAGTGCACCCAACTAGATAGGCAAATATTAACTGACATGAAAAATCAAGCAAGCACTGGTACAACTATAATGGAGGATCTCAAATCCACACTCACAAATAGATCAACTAGGCAAAAAATCAACAGTAAATATCAGAACTGAATCAAACGTTTGAATAAATTGACTCAGTAGATGTGTACATAGTATTACAACCTACAACATCTGATGACACATTTGTCTTAGTTGTACCTGGGACATTCTCCAAAATAGATCATATAGTGACTCACAGACCATGCTTAGATAAATTCAAAAGAAATGAATTACCCTACGCATATTATCAGACCATAGTGCAAAGAAATTATAAATCAATGGCAAAAGAAGTCACAAAAAGTGCATGAGCATATGGAAATTAACACCTGCCTGACATGCAATGTAACACGGATGAAATTAAAGAAATTACACAGCTTCTATAACTAAGTGATAATGCCAACACAATATAATAGAACTTATGGGACACAATGAAAACAATTCTGTGAGGCAAACTCATAATGATAATATCCATGTCAGGAAAACAGAACGAGCTTAAATAAACAACATAATGTTGAACCTCAGTCTTCTAGAAAAAGAAGAGCAGGTCAAGCCCAAAACTCATGAAAGGGAGGAAATTAGAAAGTTCAGAAGAGAAATGAATGCAATAGAGATTAAGAAAATAATACAAAGATTCAATGAATCAAAGAATTGGCTCTTTGAAAGGTTAAATAAAATTGGCAAACACTTAGCCAACCCTTATTTTTTTAAGAAAGGAAAAGAAGTGATTCAAATCCATGCTTATGGGGCAAAACAGACTCCATTTTCTTTTGTAACTTCATGTCTGGAAGTCACTTTACTTCACTTAAACTGTAGATAGACTCACACACTGAGAACTAATAAGGTCAAAAAAATAAAAACAAATAGCTAAAATAAATGGGTAAGTAAGGCAAAGGTTGAACCACAATATCTCATGACCATCAGTAGGGCAACAGTGTCTGGGAAAAGTAAACCACATACATTCTTATAAAATTTCTGAGAATGACGTCATATAATAATGTGGTTACAATGAAAGCCTAAAAAGTTTATAACCTAAAGTAAAGTCTAAGTGGGCACTGAAATTTTGTTTTCTTGACTTGGCATCAGAATATCAGTCACTGGATATTTTTTTTTCCAGCTCAGTGTCCACCCTCAGGGCGGGGCTAGCATGACATGTGGTACCAGGGATGAAATCACGGTCCCCTGTGCCTGCCTAAGCTTGCCTAAGCAGGCACTTTAGACTGCTGAGCTATCTCACCAGCCCCACTGGCTTTCAATAAAGCTTCTTTGTCCCTACATCCTTGGTCTCTCTCATGAGTGCTTTTCCTCATTGTTATCTG